ACATGGTCAGCACAGGCTGGATAAACATAGCCCTGACTCCCAGGCCTGGGATTAGCCACACAAAGAAAGGAAAAGGGGTGCCCCACAGGGCTTAGAGGTGAATTCCATGGGCTCAATCCAGCCTTCACAATCAGTGAGCCAGCCCTTTGCGGTCACTGACTCGGCCAGAGATAGTGTCAGGAGACAAGGGCTCCATTGTGTCCTCTGTTACATCCAGTTGTGCAAACCTAAAAAGCAATTCAATACTCTGGGCCTCAGTTCTCTCATCTGTAAAATGGGGAATCAAGAATGTGGAAGTTCGGGGCTAGTTTATTATTACCCTGGCCTGGGAGACAAGGGCTTGTGGGTGGTTAGCCCATAGTATTTGCGCTGCTTGTGGGAGACATAATTACGTTAATTAAAAGACATGCTACAGATCTCACGTGAATAAGTGGAAGAGCTGAAACTGAAGACCAGGCTTGTCTGATGCACCTGAAATTGAAGCAGCACTTTGTGGACTCTAACTTGTGCACATAACACTGGCATCTTGATCAAATGCAGTTTCTGAGGGAGCAGGCCTGGGGTGCCCACCTGAATAGGGTTAGGCAGGTGAGGAAGGGTAGTTTCTCCATGCATTTGAAAGCTCAGAAGCTCAGAGGACCCAGGAGCTCACTAGCGTTGTTATTATTAGTCGATAGAGTGGAGGGCAACATTTTACAAATTGTCTAATCCTTTAAAACTGCACTGTCCCAAACAGCAGCCATCAGCAACATATGGCTACTGAGCATGCATAATTAGTCCATACTATTACTTATACTGTGCTATAAGTGTAAAATACACATCATATGTTGAAAATTCAGAATGGAAAAAATAATGTAAAATATCTGCCTAATAATTCTCACATTGATTACATATTAACATGCTCATCTTTTGGATATATTGGGTTTCATAAAATATAATATGAAAATTAATTTCACCTGTTTCTTTTTACTTTTAATGATATGGCTACTAGAAAATTTTGCATTACCTATGTGGCTCACATCATAGGTCTAGTGGACAGTGCTTCTTGCTTTTTTCCAAACTCACCCAGCTCATTCCCACCTTGGAGTCTTTGTGCCTAATGTTCCTTTTGTCTGGATGCTCTCATCAACCTTCACCCTCATTTTTAATTTTTCTGTGGAGATGGGATCTCACTATGTTGCCCAGGCTGGCCTCAAACTTTTTGGCTCAAGCAGTCCTCCCGTCTCGGCCTCGCAAAGGCACCCCCAATTTTTACATAGCCGCTTCCTCACTCGACCCAGGTGTGTGCTCAAAGTCACCTCCTCAGAGAGGCCCTCCTGGAACACCTGAGCTAACACAACCATTGCGACTCTCAGGAGCCCTTTCCCCTAGTTTACATTTATTTGTAGCACTTCTCACTACTGGAAATCATATATTCATTTATTTATTGTCTGTCCGTCTTCTGGAAAGTAAGTCCCATAAGGGACAGATCGGGGTGAGCAGGTGAAGGGCTGCATCTGCTCAGGTTTCCCTGGCCCAGGAGGCACCGAGTCAGACCAAGGGGCCATTCCTGAAGGAACCTGTGCCTGGAGCTACCAAAGCAGAGAGGCACAGGAGGGCAGCCAGGTGGGTGCTCCTCGATAGAGGTTTGAGGGCAGACTCGGTGTGACAAGCCTCTGACATTGTGATAAGATCCTGCTGCCCTTGGGCAGGCAGGTGAATGAGAAATCAAAGAAGGGATTATTTGATGGTGTTAGGTAGATGCGCACCCCAGGCCGGGTGTTAGGTTGAGCCTGGTTTCTTTGGCTCTTACAACTTCCCTATGCAATAAATCTGACTCCTCCTTTTACAGAGATGGAACGGAGGCTCAGAGGGATCAAATAATTGGCCCGGGTCACATAGCAGGTGCAGAGCCAGGACTCACACCCACATTCCATCTACTAATCCCATCTCTGACTGAGAATGAGGGTCTACTCCAGTTTCAGGGAGCCCTGTGGACAATAGGGTGTGGGAAAACAGGTAAGGGAGAGAAACTGAAGTCTCCAAAGCCAGAGGCTGGTACTGGGAATCCCAGCATGCCAGCTATGGGCTGGGAAGGGACTCTCAGAATCAGCCCCAAGTGTGTGGGTAGGGGAAACTGAGTCCCAGAGAGGGGCAGGGCTGGAGAGGGGGTACCTGTGAAGAAAGATGCCAAGCCCATTTTACAGAAGGGCAACTAAGTCTGGGAGAGGAGCATTGCATGCCCCCTCCTCCGAGAGGTACCCACCTTGGGGTTGAGGGACTGTGGCTTGCCCGCCTGGGTCTGGTGGTCTGAGGCCATGGTGGACTGTCCCGTGCAGGAATGACCTGGAAGACATGGGAAGCAGCAGTGAGCACCTGGAGGGGCCACTGACTTTTTCACTCTGTGGGGACTTGGGACCACTCCTCTCTGGCCCCAAATATTCTTCTTTTCCCCCTGGTTTCAGGCTGTCCCAGAGCTGTGGGTTCCATAAGCAGCTACTTGAACTTCTGTCCTTAGCTTCATTTATATCTATCCAGGTCAGCGCCAGGAGGAGGGAAAAATGAAGTCCACTCAAAAAAAGGGTGGGGGGCAGTGATAAACTGAGCTTAAATGAGGTCCCAAGTGGGTCACCAACACTTAACCCCAGACAATGGATATCATGCAGAATATAGAACAGTCAATCCCAGAACTTCTGCCTTTATGCAGAAATTCCCTAAATAAAATTGTGTGGAACAAACAAAGCCTATGCATTGGCTGTATTTTGTGGTGTGGTGGTGCCCAGTTTAGGAACCCACAAAGTTCCCTGTCCCCCTGCTCTTTCTCCCACCCTCTCTCTGGGACTCCTCTCCCCATCCTGGTACCTAGATTTCTCTTCTCTGCCACTGGTTTTATGTCCCCATTAGTGAAATCATCTGATACAGGACCCATGTTACAAGAAAGGGAAGAGGCCAGGCGCGGTGGCTCAAGCCTGTAATCCCAGCACTTTGGGAGGCCGAGACGGGCGGATCACGAGGTCAGGAGATCGAGACCATCCTGGCTAAAACGGTGAAACCCTGTCTCTACTAAAAAATACAAAAAAAAAACTAGCGGGGCGAGGCAGCGGGCGCCTGTAGTCCCAGCTACTAGGGAGGCTGAGGCAGGAGAATGGCCTAAACCCGGGAAGCGGAGCTTGTAGTGAGCTGAGATCCGGCCACTGCACTCCAGCCTGGGCGGCAGAGCAAGACTCCATCTCAAAAAAAACCAAAAACAAACAAACAAACAAACAAAAAAAACAAGAAAGGGAAGAAATGGGTGCAATGGTAGAAACCCAGGCACTGTGGCAGGCAGCAGGATAGACCTGCCTTAGCTATTAACAACATCAGAAAAGTCTGGAAAATTGTCAGCCTCTTCCCGCTTCCTGCAGGAGGGGTGGTCAAAGCAGGCTGTTTCCTCAGGGGTAAGAGAGGAAGCCTGGCTTTCCTCTTCAGAGATAACGCCCAGCTTCCAGAAGCCCCTTCCACATGAAAGGCCAAGACCGGATGTTTCCCAGGAGGAAGAAATTCAGTTAAGCACCTTGGGAGCCAAACCTACTGCTCTCCGGCAAGAAACCAGCCCGCTGGGCTCGTCAGAGTGCCTGAGGTCCTGCCCTGTCGCTTCCGGGTCCTGAGTGTTCACAGACTGAAGAAGCTCAGTTGGTCCAGTTCAGGAGCAGTCTCTGCTGCCTACCAGAATTGAGACTCTGGGCAGGTCGCATCCTCTCCCTATGCCTCAACTTCCTGTTCTGTAAAATGGGGGCGGTAATGATGTCTAATAATACCTGTGAACAGGTTGTGAGGATTCAATTATGTAATGTATAAAACCGGAAGCACTTGGCCGTGGTCCCAGAACACACTCAGCATGCAGCGAATGGCAGCAATTGTGGCATTATTAGAGTCATTTCTACCATGCTTTAGTGGCATTGAAATAACCTGTTGCTGGGAGCTGTCACATACCTGAGGCTGCATCCTACCCCTAGCACTCTCAGAGACTGGGCACAGAGTGGGTGACCCAGAATTGCAGATGTAGAGGAAAACTGACTCACCCACCTAGAAACAAGGCTGAACTGTCACTGGTTTGATTCTTGCAAAACCCTGAGTTACATTCTCCTCCTCAGCGACTGACAAAACAAGGATGCTGATAGTCTGTTTAATATTAATAATAAAGAACATTGCTGCAATACCCACTGTGTGCCAGGCACTGTGCTGGATGACCCACCTACCTTCTCTTGAATCCTCACAATAAAGAAGCCTTTTGGACCCCCTTCCCGTTTACCAGAAAAGAAAACTGAGGTTAACAGCATTGAAGTCTCTGCCCAAAGTCACTTGTCAGAATCCAGGTGCTCCCATGCTTTCCGGCAGGGGTGAGGATGACAGAAAGAAGGGAAGACAAGCAAAGGAGGCAATCTTACCAGTGACACCAGCCCCTGCGAGTGCTGTGAAGCTCAGCCAGCGGGAGGTGGCATTTATACCTTCCCCAGAAGTGCCAGTGCCAAGATGAGTGACTGCTGTGTTCCTGCGAAAAGCAGGGTGAGAATGCTGGATTAAGCTCTCACCAAAGCCCGGGTCAGCAAATGCCCACAGACATTGTGTCTCTGCACAATAATGTCATTAGCTTTCAGATTCGGCCGCGCCAGGGCGGTCAGGCGGCTAGGCAAGGAGATGCCTGCTTTGCATGCATCAGCCGTCCGGCTGCCAGCGCTGGGGGCACACTGGGTTCACTGGTGCGCTCAGTCAGGCCCTGAGGCATGGCAGACACAGAGGAACATCTCCGTGGACCTGGGGAAGAACAAGTAAAGAAGGGTGGTTTGGCAGAGCCTGGGCTTCATTCATCTTCCCATTTATTCATTCAACAAATATTTGCCGGGCATCCATTTGGTGACAAGCTCTGTTCTAGGGGAGACTGTCAGGAAGAGGACCTACTCCAGCCCAGGCATTTCAGAAAATCTCCTGGGGGGTAGCGCATCCCTCAGGGATGGAGAAGAGGAAGCCTGGGAATAGGGTGGGGGGACAGGTCCAAGTAGAAAGGGTCCATATACAAGGAACCAGCATAGTGTATTTCGAGAAGACCTGAAAACAGGTTAACAAAGCTAAGGCATGCCATGTGACAAATAGAGCCTGTGCCAGGTGGACAAGGTGGGCAGGGCCTGGTGTTGCAGGGTCAGGGAGGACAATTATGGAGAGTGCATTTTATTCTCAAGGCCCCTGGCTGTTTCTCTTTCTCTCTTTCTTTTTGAGACGGAATCTCGCTCTGTCACCCAGGCTGGAGTGCAGTGGTGAGATCTCGGCTCACTGCAACCTCTGCCTCCCAGGTTCAAGTGATTATCCTGTCTCAGCCT